AATAATTAAGTTTACTGACAAGTTCTCATAAGCAAATCACATGCAAATTTATTTTCCTGAACTACCCTTCCATACCTCCTTTTCTTCCTCTTAAGAATATTCCTTCTAATATATATAGAGTTCCTGGTTACTTTTAAGCTTATCTACTCCTTGCACAGAGGATGTGCTTTGCAACTAGTGGTTAAGAAATTTATTAACACCATGAATGTATCAAAAGACTTAGCTTATGTCTCATGCAAAGCAGAAAAAGAACTCCAAACCCCTGCTTCACCACAAATCTAATTCATCCGTTACTCCAAAATACTAGATACAAATCCAGCTCCTTCATATCTTTATATATCTTCAAAACTCATAGCCGTCACCAACTGCAACAACATTTTCATATAAAAGGCCCCCAGAATCATCAAGCCCACTCTTTACCGATAACTCACCCAGTTGATGTCTTGCTTCCATTTTGAATCAAATCTTGGATACTCTTTACTTCCATACACCAATCAACATATCTTCTTCTTGTTATCCTTCAGTTGATAAGAATGCAGAGGTGTTTATTATGAAGTATAGATAAGAGAGAAAGGGGTTACCTAATTCTTTAGGAAGATGAAGAGGGTTGCTGAAGGTTATTTGAGAGAAGTATGCACGTGCTGAGCACTTGCTAATTCTAAGCCATATTAACAGTAAAGTTAACAGTGGGGGTTCTATAATAATAAAATAAATAACAGTAGAAGGTTTCCTAATGTTGGTCAAAGTTTAGGGGGTTTCATACTAATTACCTATAAAAAATAGTACACTCTATTGTAGCTCTACAGAGTGACAAAAGTTTACTACTGCTTAAGCTTAACGTCAGATTAAAAGTGGAAACTTACTAGCAACAAGTTCTACAACTGATTGGTTCCTGAATGCTCTCACCACAAAAAAATATACTTAAGAGCACTTGCCACCTTTAAAGTTCAAACAGAAAGAACCACAACAACTTGTGCATCCTGCTGAGTCCTCCAGAATTCTGTTCTTATTTATTAAGTAATGAGACGGCCAGACGGGAGAGACTAATATTTCTTTTTTTACTCCAGAAATATACTCCATGGATGCAACAGATATGGACATCTATTGGGGTCTTTGAGAAGTCAGGTTGGATTCGCAAGCTGAGCAGACTCTGGCAAAAATTTCTAACTCATGCAACCTGACATTCATGTTGCAGCTTGGACCCTGCCATCTTAACTTATAATGATGTTTAGGTTGGAATCCACCTTCAAGTGTTTTTTTTTCTTAAATTTTATCTGAACACCATATGCTCCGTATTTGGCACTTTGAGAAGAAGAATACAAATAACATGACCATATGTCCAAAAAGAAACAAAAAGAAAAAGAAACTACATAAAGATCATTGTACATATGGAAGAGTTGAACATTACCTCTTCCTTTGTGTGGAAAGACTGTATAACTATACAAACCTACTAGAATAGGCAAGGAACAAGTTACTTTTTCCATAAAGAAATTGTTCCGATGCCAACCTTTAAACTAGGTTATTCCCCATCTTATTTCTCTTTTTCCTAATTTACCAACCAAATGTCTATGTTGTATGCTTCTGCAACTTGCATATTTTGTAATGAATTAATATTTACTTATTAATTTATATGTAAAAAAGAAATTTTCTCTCATGTACTACAGGCTTAATAGAATTAAGCAACAATGATAGATAAGTCTACTTTCTTTTATTCAGACTAGAATAGCAAAGGATATGTTTTCTTATACATTTCCACCACTGATGACGAGAATCTAAGCTCAAAATCATGATGCGATATTTATTAATAAACTGACTACCATTCCCTTCTTGCTTGGCTAATCGCCCATGCCACCTGGGTACTCCTAACTGAAGCAGTATCCGTACCCAACACGTACCCGTACCCGTATCCATACCCAAACTCCTTGAACACTCCTTGCATATATGAATACATTTGTCAGGCATGTTCACTTATGCAATGTATGTTATAAGTTAAAACAAACTTCTTGGATGCATATCCTACACTACATGTCCACTTCCTAAAACTTGTTGGACATAGGTGGAATTCTGAGCTATTATTTTAAAGGGTCATCTAGATATCTAGTTCAAAGATGATGGTTCTCCGGTGTATAATCCACATAATAAAAGGAACATAAAAATATCATAGGAATTTTTATTCTCATAACACATAAATGAAAAACAATATTGATATCATGTAGATTATTAATTACAATATATAATATATGGATATGTATATAAATATTTATATAGCCGCATCCATGTGCCATACCTTTTACAAATTTGGCATGTCCTACACCCCTATCCTACACCCCTATCCATAGAGGCAACCGCACATGTTTCCATGCAACTTAGCTAACCATGAAAACAGTGGACACTATTTACGGCAAAATGCATTCTTTCAGCATGCACATGAAAGCAATGAAACTATAAGTATTGGTCACAAGGGAGAACCCAAGGTAAAAAAGAAACAAAGAATAGTTCCCCAAATAATTTCTTCTACATCAATGTTTCTATAGGCTAATATCATTTCTTTTATCTCCAACTTATTTTTCTTTATTTATAATTCAACCAAATTTGTTCATCTCTCATGTCACAATCTAAGGACCTCATCAAAAGTTACAAGCTGAAAAAAAATCTGCAAGGAGATCACAAAAAAATAATTGCGAAGTCTCATTTACCCATGGTGTTAACATAATACTGGTCAGTGAAGTTCCCAAGGAATGTGAGAAAGGAACTTGTTATTTCCCGTGAACATTTATAGGTGAGAAACAAACAGGTAAGTGAAACTTGTCAAAGTATTACTTGTTAACAAGAACCAACACGACTACACATGACACTCTTTGTTATGATGCAAAAAAGAACCGAGTGGGCTCGTGATAAGATACAAAATTTATACTGCATTCTAGATGTACCTGATTGGGAATTATAAAGGTTCCTTTCTTGTTTAATGAATGAATATGGCTACTAAAGGAGTTGAATAGAGTGGAAATTTCATGCATCCCCTAAAAAAGGGACAAACTCCTCACTTTAGTGATACAACAGCAATTAAAATGGAAAAATCAAGGATGGGTACAGGATGCAATATGCAGGAGACCATCTCCATTCTCAGAGATAAATTTTGTTCATTGATTTTATTGATAGATTTCTCTTGTAACAGCATTTGACAAACACAAAATAATAAATACAATAAATAATATGCAGAACCCCATCTTCATTTCTTAAGCATCATGCACCAGTGAGTTGTTTGCAGTCTAGATCTATATACAGATTTCCTAACTTGCGTCAATTATGACTTCAGTCAATGGTTACATCAGTTATTTGCAACCTAAATGTCTCTTTTTATAATACGGATGACCGAGATACACCTTCTTTTTGGTATTTTATTTCTTCCTATATAGTACATAACTTGGTTGGTGTTTATTAGTCATGTTTCCCGTCACAAGCAATAAACACTCAAAAGTCAGTAGTGACAAAGGTAAGAAAAGAAGTAACTACAAGGAGCTGACTTGACCTCATCCTCATAGTTAAATAAAAAAGCAATGCAATATTAAAATTACTGAACTGTACAACAAAATGATCTAAGAACATAAAGGATGTGTTGGCCAGATGGCAAGGAAACAAGAACAGACCACTGGAAGAAGAGCCTGAATCACTACTCGATGAACTTGAACTGCTGCACTTGCCACCTCTATGTATTGCATCCTTCTCTATCTCTACAGGAGGATAGCTTGACATGGGAGGATCATTACCACCAATATCTACATCCTCATCGACAGGTTCATTGCCTATACACATATGCACACAGAAGCAGAACTGCAAGCTATAATTTCTACCTTCTACTGCAAATATGGACATTTTAATGAAAGGTGATTTTGCTAAGAAGGAACCTTTGCCGGGATGCATTGATGAATTGCTAAGTCCAGATTCATTTAAAATCTGCACAAGAAAAAGGATAGCAGCTTGTCATACACAACTACATATCAAATAGCTCTAACAAGTAAAAACATACCTCGATTTCAGAGGGTTCTGCTTTTGGATGTTGTACAATCAGTTTCTCTGGCAAACAGCTATCCAAAAGCTCCCTCAGTTCTAACAGTACATCATCACTAAGGGCGTCAATATCAACCTCCATCTCCTCCTCACCAGAGTCATTCGTACTACTGATATGCCTCTTCAAAAAGTCAATTATTTGGTCTGGCATGTCCTCTAGCATAGCTGATAATCGATTACTCAAATGCTGCCTCTCCTCAGCAGTCACCCTAGGGATCACCTTTTCCAGTACTACAGCATTACAAGTTACAGGAGACGTTTTCCTCTTCTTTGGATGTAATACTGGCTTGGGAGCTTCTGTCTCTCTTCTAACATATAAATCAGTTGCAGCAAGCTTCTTCTCTATAGGTTTCCATTTTGACTCAAAGAATTTGCTTAATTTATCTGCCATTATGTGGACATCGTTACCGGGCGGATTGTATGTCATTGCATTTGTAAAAGTTAACCTCACATCAGCAACAAAACCCAATGGGCTGGAGTAAGCACCAGAAGATATCTTGTTCTTGATGGTACCAAGATCCATTGGATGCTTGATGACAGTGTAATAATCCGGAATCTTGAGAGCCACTGCGTCAACTGGATTATTGAAAACCCACCCAAACTGGTGTGTTCTCAACTTATTGAGAATTGAGTCACATTGCTTCATTATCGATGCATAGGAGTTATCAGTGGTAGGCTGTGGCTGAGGTCGTTGTTTGTTCTTCGACTCGAACCTCCCTGAACTCCCACGCTTGAGATGTGATCCATTGGAACCCAGTTTCTTTCCGTTACTGGAGGATGACACTGTTGGTACATTTATTGATAAGAACTTTTTTTGAAGCATTTGAATTCTTTCAAGTTCAGCTCTCAGTCTCAATTCTAACTCTTTTCTTTCTGAACCAGGCATCTTGGCAAAAGAAATGACCTGCAAAGGAACATTGAAGCAGTCGCCCGTGTCCTTATTCAAGCTAATGCATTTCCTCTTTGGAGCACAAGAATCTTCAGAATCCACACGGCATGAGCTACCAAATCCTTCGGATTCCTCCATGGTTTCAGCCGCATGACGGTAATCAGGAACAAAGGAAGAAGATAAGCCCTTCGAAAACTTCTGTGATTTCCCCATCATCGCGAAAGATCTCTTAACCACCCTTTTCTCTGTACACTCTATTAGAACAGTGGGCGCCATATTGTCAATCCAGTAAATCTGTAGATATTAACAATTCCATTACCATCAAACGTCTCAAATAACATTAAAATTCCCCGCTTTGTGATTCAATAATTAAATTGTCCAAACCTAAACCAAAACGAGGGCTTAAACTATCCGTTCCTTTGCTTTCTGGTTTAATTCCTTTTCAGAGGGGAAATCGGTGAAATAATTAATAAAGATGCAACTTTTCCTGGTTTCCAAAAGAATTAATTAGGTTTTCCTGCCCAAATTTTCGTTTTCATACAATTCTCCCAAAAAGTAGCAGCCAAACTTTATCTTAATCACAAAAGCACCAGCTGAAGCAAAATTGAAGCCCTAGTCTAACCATTTCCAAATCGAGTACCAAATTCTCCAAGGAAACCACTGAAACAGTATCAATTCTACATAAAAACGAAACCCTAGCTCCGAGCAAATCAAACCCTAGGCCTCCAAGCCGCAACAAAATTAGGGAAATGACTCCAAAAATCCAATACAAAACCTGGATCTCGAGATCGGAGCAGCTCCAAAACCCTAAAAAAATCAAAGCGGAGCCAAATTTCCCTTTCCCTTCCTCTTCACTTCGGACAGAGAGAAAATCAGCGAGTGGAAAATTTACGCAAAGGACCCCCGAATAATTATGCCTCTCTCTGGCATTGGACCCCTTTACTTATAGGCCCTTGGAGAGATCCCGGCCGTTGGATCTAGATCTGATCGGACGGTTTAGGTTGTCTCAGCGTCGGGTTTGCTGGATCTCTGTGCGGATCCACGTCTGAAAACTACCCGTCTGCTTTGACTTCTACTGTTCTAGACCAACGATCCTGTATGGAGGAATGAATAGGAAATCATACTGTAAGGACCGGTAGAATTATGACACGTGCTGGGCAGGAGCTTTCGGCGGTGCCATCACGTGGATTATGCGCTGGCAATTTAGATAACGGTGAGAAAATCAGCCGTGTATAACGCTAAATAAATTAAATAGCGGTTATTAAAAACAAGTCATGATTAGGTTAATGTGTTAGATTAATTAAAGTTATATATATATATATATTTATCATTTTGTCAAATGCATATTGTGTAAAACTTTATTTTTGCATAATATTGAGTTTTTGGTTTATAGACTTAACAATAATAGTTTACATCTTTTATTAAGTTTATAAAATCATTTTGTAAAGTTTTAAAACATGGTTTAGCTAAAATATCAAAAATAAGTGTTGTGTATTTTCATGTTTTGGACATATTTGAAAAATAATGATATTTTATAAATGGGAGATGTTTTTTTAAAAACCAGTTTTTGTAACAAGTGTATTATCATGTTTACAATCATTTCCCAAAGTTTTATATTTTTCTGATTTTATTTGATATTTTTAAATATGTTTAAAATTCAGTTTCACTGTTCATAACAGGCTAATAACATGTTATCAGTCGACTGATACATGTGTTCAGTCGACTGAAGAAATCGTTTTGAATAACAAAAAGTTTATGTTTTGTTTTAGTCGACTGATGAGGTCATCAGTCGACTGACCATGCTCATCAGTCGACTGATGAGATGTTGCTGGCCTGTAACGATCAGCTCATCAATCGACTGACCAGTCGCCCGACGGCATAACAACTAGTTTTTCTAGATTTTCATGTTGTCGTTATTTGTCTTTTTGCTGGGATTTCTTGGTCTTTTGGGCTTTGTTTCTTGATCCTATATATACCCCTTGCCCTCTAACATTCTGAAGTAATTAAGAAAAGTTTTAAACAAGTTTTAAAGGGTGTTTAAGTTTTGTTTAAGTTTGTTCCAAGAGTTAGTTTGTGAAGAAACTTTTACAAGAGCTTGAGGAGATCATCCTTTGGTGTTTGAGCATTCACTCTTTTCCCTCTCTATTGTTATCATTAGAGAAGTTTTTTTCTAAACTCATATCTAGCTATTTTATATGTTTGATTTTCATTTCCATAAGCTAGAATTTATTTGAGTTTAGTTTTGATTTATAATCCCATTGTTACACACACCCACTTGAGCTTTTAGTATGTACATACATAGTATATTTGGGGTTGTGAGATTGTAACTTTGAGTTGAGCTTACATTGAGTTCTCATTTATTGTAGAGAACAAATCTTGTTGTATTTGTGCTTAATTTGTGAGATCACTTTGTAATACACTTGTACACCGAGAAGAGTATGTGGTGAGAGATGGCGTCATCCCAAGAGGAGTGGGGTAGGTGGTAATGCCTAGAGGGAGGTTGTAATTCCTAACATTTGAGGGAGACACGTGCTAGAGATCAATACTTGAGGTGGTAGTGAGTGTGATTGCAAGAGTGTGAAATTGTAAAGTTTTCGGTAAACTAGAAAACCGAGTGTGAGTTGTAAACATTTGTCGGTAAGTGTAGAAAACCGATTGTGAGATGTAAACGTTTTTGGGTGAAAACGTTGAAAAACCCGGTGTGATAGTGGATTTCTCCCCGGGAGTAGGGAGCAGAGACGTAGGACGGAAGGTCCGAACTCCGTGATCATGTTACTTGTTTGAGTTTGGCTTAGCGTACTTATATTTGTGTTCATCTTTATTACCATTCTTTCATTGTTTATTTCATCTACTATATTGTTTATATCTTGTTTCACCCTTGTGTTAGTTTCATATCCTTGCACATATCTTGTTGCATATCTTATGCTAGGATATATTTGTTAGTAAAGTTCTAAATTGGCATAAATCAGATTAGATTAGCATAAACTCTATTCACTCCCCTATAGGGTTTCTTCCTAGTGGCATTAGGGTGTTTTCAAGTGTCGTTCTACCCTAAAAATTACTAAGTTTAATAGACTCCCTTCAAGCGGTCACGTGTCATATTTAACTGACCTATCTTCCCCAAATTAAATAACCCAACCCAAGTATGCACATAGCCGACATGTTTTCAGAAGTGCGGGTCCGAGATAGAAGAAGTCTTCAAATCAGTCTCTCGACTCAGATCCAAGAATAAGAGTGCCTTCAATCCAGGACTTGTTCAAGGAGTCGGGAATTCTGAGATGAATGATGTTTTTTCCTCCACTCCATCGCGGAATGTCTCAAATGAAGAATTGATCTATCAGCTTCACTGCACTTAGCTATGTAGCCCGGCCACCCTCACATTTAATACATAGCTAGGGTCATTTTATGACTCCCCTGTCGGAGTCATGATGACTCCTTAGATGATGCTGGTACTTCAGACACACTGTCAATGTCGCATTAAACATAAAGGGTGACTTGCTTGCTCTGTGATCGGCACATGTAAACTACCATCTAATCAACCACCCGCACTGACTTGGTCAAATTACCAAATCACCCCCCTACAGATTCCTATAAAAATAGGGATGATTTCTTATGTATGAAGGTACGAACAATTGGCTATAGAATACTCCCAAACTAAATTAAGCATTTCTTGACCACTTAGTCAGTGACTAACTTGACTGTTGGAGGGCCCATCGGAGAATCCAACTCCAATCCTCTACCAGTGTTACTGTGTGCATGAATCTCTATTTGCGGTCATAGTCAACCATCATAGGAGATAAATGGACCATAGATTCCTCCAAAAACCATTATTAATCTCCTAATTAACTGATTAGCATTAACAATTTCACACCCATTGTGGGCCTCTTTTCCTTGTTTTAAGGAAATGGTCAATCATGACCAGTCATCGATTCTAAACCCTAGAGAAGTCTCCAACTTTGGCTATATCATCCAAGCCCAATTGGATGACTCTAATCAACTGCTAGCCCAGACTATTCAGCAACAGTTCACTTTACTAATAAACAAACTCATCAAGCATATTCTTCCTCGTCAGCCTCCTTCATCATCTGCCGCTGCTCATGAAGAGCAACACTGAGGACAGGAGTAGTAAGAGTGGGCTAGGGAAGTTACTCCCCTAACACATTGGTGATAGACTCGTTTTACTACCAAACCACGGCAACCCCAGTATCACATGGAGGCAACTAGTGAGATTTCAAGCCCCAGCCTTATTAATGTCGCATGGGCAACGTTGTGAGGTGTGATACCTATCTACATGACTCAAACCCTAGTGATAAGGGTTGATCCCTCCATGATCAATTTAGCTTCCAGATATGATCGAACGATAAACTCAGTCGCTGATGTTATTTGAGAAAACACTCATCTAGCTGATTAGATTATGAACGCTCCTTACTCAAAGTTCACAATGCCACACATTGAGAATATAAGGGTGAAGACAATCCCGTTGAGCACACACAAATTTTTTTATGATTAAATGTGCATGTAGCAGGTGAGTGATCCCATCGTATGCCGAGACTTCCCTCTCACCCTTGATGGTAGTGCAAAGATATAGTGGAACTCATTGGACAAGAAGTCCATACATAGCTTCGAGAAGCTAAGCCAAAAGTCTTACAATATTTTCTGGCAGATACAAAGCAAAAGACATATTCTGCTCTCTTGCTGCAAATTAGACAGAGACCAGCGAAGACCTTGAGGGGTATTTTAAGAGATTTTAGGCCAAGCACTGAAGGTGGAAGACCCCGGCAACATAGTCGTCATGGTTGTGATCATCTATGGTCTCGAGGATGAGAAGCTATCTAATTCTCTCATTAGGAACTAAGTAATCAACTTTGACCAACTCATGGCTAGAGCTTGATTACATATAGATGTCGAGGATAGCCAAGCCCTTAAAAAGGCGGCATGATTGGAAGTTGCTGAGGGCGGAGTCATCTTAAAGTAAGAAGGCTAAAGATGGCTGGTCCAGGCCCGAGTCTAAGCCT